GTCGTATGCAACAAGCCCCGACGATCGTCGGGGACATATCCCCGAAGTCGTATGCAACAAGCCCCGACGATCGTCGGGGACATATCCCCGACGACCTTCGGGGCTTGTTGCATAGGGTCGTCGGGGCAGTCAGTTGGATTGTCGACGCATTAGCGTCGTGTTCGAGGTGGCCTAGGGATTTCGGTGATGACAAATTCTGGCTCCTGAGCGTTGGTATTCTTTTAATGTTATCACTTTTCTGTAACCCTTTTTGTGACACTGTTGAATCAAGTTTTCACATTAAAAACTGTTTCAATCAATTTACAATTTTCAAGTTAGGTTTCCATGAAACCGCACTGACTGCACTTTTGAGTTGGACGTGCGCTAAGGGTTTTTTTTGATTCTGATGTATCTTATCGCGTGCTGTCGGGTTTTCATAGTGGGGTTGCATATGAAGGTAGAGCGCATTTACTGGAATTCCTTTTCGGAAATTTCTCTTAACCTGTTTTCAATTTTTAAATTTGTTCTGGCTGTCGCTTTCGACATTCATTTGTAACTAGCTAAAAACTCTGTGCGCATTCCCGCGTCGCTTCAAACGTATGCTGTCTCACGGTCCCACTATTCACACGACGGTTGGTCCATGTCAGTGGTACATGAGTAAGGGAGAAGTGGGCGAAACACTTATCGTGTAGGGGAACGCAACGAATGGGAATGATGGGAATAAAATGTGCTTTGAGATGTGGTGAGCCAGTAGTGGACCTAAGAGTTGGATGGGAGGTCGTTCAGAAAGTGACGATGACTATTATGGTATATGCTTGTTCACTCTGGCGGAGAAAATGCACGAGATAGTAGTACAACCATGTCACCTGCTATGTATCTAGTTGGGGGGGGTACGATTAGATCGGTGGAAAACATTGATAAATAGCTCACGAATCGCTGAATTCGCCTGCTATTCAGACGGCCCGTAGTATATGTTCTATAGAAAGGGTGAGTTTCTCCGCGCGGTGCTCCAAAAGAGCCTCGGTGGTCTTTGGGGTCTCCGGACATCTGTCAACCGTGAGGCTAGGCAATTCAGCGTTTTGTTGTGCTGTCTGGGAGCTCTCACACAAGCGCACTATTACAGAATCTCCGCTTTCTTTACCTCCTTCAAAAGGCTTAGTCCCACTACCACAAAGAACGTCTGCTTTTCCCTTCTACACTCTCACCCCCTGGTTGACAGAAGCCTTGTAACCGCTATTTGGAAGCATCGGCTCCTCCGGCGCATCGTATTCTAGCTGGTTCCTTGGGGCACCACCGGTTCCTTTGAAACATTGAGCACTAAGTCGCCGGAGGATTATGTTGCAATATTGTTTTTGCGGAGCTCGCGAACGGTCGAGGCGATGCTCGAGTCGGTTGGTATCGACGTGATACTGGACAACGAAGAGGACTTCTTCTACTTTCTCAAGGTGACATGAATCGCAGGTTTGAAGTTTCCCAACTCAGTGCTGAAATTTGTATACTTTGCATTGCACGCTGATAACAATATATTATGGGTTACTCCATGTCGGTCTTATTGAGCTTACCATTTTTTGCGGTGAGTATACGTAGCTTTTTTTGAATTCCTAGCAGGGTGAATAACGGTCGAAGAAATTTTGCTGAAAGAATTACGCGAAGACTTCTTCCCAGTGGCAGATTTTCATTATTACCCCTGTATATCCCCCATATATCGACTTCTCACCACAATGATCGCATAAGTTCTACTGTTATTTTTTAGTGAGTTACATGTCAAGTGCCGCCGCATTGAAGACAATGCTCGATGGAAGGCGATCATTGAAGAGGCTCTGAATAGGATAGGGAATACTTGGAATCAACTAAACAAGTATCATAAGGTACGTCTTGCAGGCTCAAGGTTGTTGTAGAGCATCCGGTGTTTAGTAAGTTTTTTTTTCAGAAGTTGCGAAAGTATAGCAGCTGCAGCGGAACTTTTTGTTACTGAAATGTACTATTATTGATAACTATACACTTCTTTAAACCTTCACTTCTGTCACATTTGTAACATTTTCTGATAGATAGCGGAGTGATTGTTTTTTTTGAAAGCTTCTTTACTATGCGTTATCAATTCATCTTTTGAAAGCAAAGATGTTTTCTCAAGCATCACTTGTTCTCATCCATACTATGATCATTCTGCTGACATTTCCATCGTGTTTTTGCTGAGACGACATGTGCCCCATTGAATTCGCGCCAGGTTTTGCTTTCATTTCATACCAATGAACTTTGATGACGTCGGTTTACAATTTTGAGAAATACCATGAGGTACTTCTCTCGAATCAGTCATTGTGCACAGTCTCGAGAAGTACCATAAGGTACGTCTTGTAGGTTCAGGGTTGTTGTAATGTATTCTGTGATGTAGTTGCTTTTCAGAAATAGCGAGACTACAGCAGCTGCGACGAATTTTTTTTTGTTGCTGAAGTGTTACTATTAATAGTAACAACGTTTCACTCCTTCAAAGCTTTAACTCTGAACGATTTGTGACATTTTCTGATAGCGGGACGATCGTAATCTTTCAAAACTTCTCATTAGTGTGCGCTGTTAATTCATCTTTCGAAAATAAAGATGTTTTCTCAACCATTACTTGTTCTCACCCCTAATAAGACCATTCCTGACATTTCCACCGGGTTTTTGTTCGCTATTAAAAGACGGTCTGTGCCCGATGTTGAATTTGCGCCGGGTTTTGCAGGTATCACTGGTCCATTTACTGGTCCATGCCATTGTATAGGTGGGATTGACTTTGGAGAAAACTACGTTCTTGAACAGAAATAGAATTCACGGTGTATGAGAAGTTGGTCGATGTATAGTCTAGGCTTTTATCCCAGACTTTTTTCTTTTCGCTTCGAGGGGAAAAATCTTCAGGATTTATCAAATCTCATGCTTTGCTGATGTCGTATTTCTCAATCTCGTTGCGTTTTCGCTTTCCGAATCCCGCAATTTTCCAGAGCGCTGCAAAACTACGCACAACAGCATCTGAATTTACATCAGCACTACCTGGTAGGTGCATATAGTACTTCATAGAAGCTTGCTGCACACGGCTCCAGGTATATATGTGTTTCTGAAATTAATATTCCAGATAGTCATTGATGTTTGAATTATCTGTGAGCAGCACCTTAAGTGTGGCGATGAAATAGCAGCATTTGTTTGCTTATCAGTCCTCTTGAAACATTTAAGAAATATCGTAGATTATTCTTGCGTTCTTGTCTTTTGTTTTTCACTTATACAAACTCTTCTCTAGGGTTGCTTTACCTACCGTTTGAAATCCCAATCTCGATTCATCGCCACTTCGTAGTGAATTCTTTCGTGGAAGGTATGTTTTTAGTAAAATTGGTACAGTGATTTTTGTCTATTGAGCCTGACCTTTTGGCTGCTAATACATTCAACCTACCGATGAAGGCTTCAATCCTGTTAGGAAAGCGCTTTTTTTAGCAGCATCTAATCAAGTCATTTTTTCAGATCGCTGGTTATACTTCAAGGACTATTTACCCTACAGTGTTCCCTGTGAGTCTCATGTTCTCAAACTCTTTCTTCCTTCAATTCATTGTTATTAACGTATTGATAGTGACTTCCCTTTTTTCATGTTTGAAGTTTTGCCTTTTTTATATCTTACCACTTAGTTATTTATACTCAAATTATGTTTCTGCACGACTCTTCTTTCTTTTACATGCAAGCACTAATTGGACAGCACAATTTGCTCCTTTGCTGGTCGGGTGTTCGGGTTCTACTTAAAAGTCGACCACATGGCGATCGCTGGATTCGTTGAAGATTGTCCGAGTTGTCCGCACTGTACCCCTTAGCTAGATCTCTTCAAGTGCTGTAACCGGCACATCGTAGATTGGAAATCTGAGCTTTTGAGGACTAGAGAATCCGAAATTCGCGTGTTTCTCGTGCACGAAATCTTTAATTTCCTGAGTAGGGCCCTGGAATGATTTAGATTCGGCCAGCAGTAATGTTGCATAGTTTTAATGGGCGGTGACACTTCTAGGGTCTAGGTGCTCCCTCCAAATATTTGGATGTTTTTTTAGTGTTGTCATATCTGCAAGGCATTCAGAAACATCCATGAAACAACCGTCACGCTGGCGTAATTTTTAGGTAAGATGGATCTACTTGAAAATCTCTTAGGTAAGATGGATCTACTTGAAAATCTCGATCGCTTGCGGAGGTATGGAAGAGAGCCAGTACAACGCGCTCTCAGGGATAGGAGTTATCCTTTTGACAATCTAAGCGACGATGAGTTCAGAAGAAGCTATCGCTTCTCTCGCAACGTCTTCTTTAGCATCTGTGAATTGCTGAAGGTCGGACCTCGAGCTTCAAGAGACATGGAACAAATCTTAGCGTGCCTCAACAAGTATCTATCGCCATCCATTTACTTGGCAGAAATGTTATGCAGAGTGACTCTGCAGCGGGCTGTCATCAAGCCACGGTTTCCCGTGTCTTGCAGGCAGTTGTTCAAGCCCTCAACCGAAAAGCGAGCCAGTTCATATATTGGCCGGATGAGCAGGAGGGCGCGAGGATCAGCCGTGCTTTTTTTGATAAATACCGTATTCTTGGAATAGCTGGGGTTCATTGACGGTACACACTGCCGCATCCAGCGACCTCACGTTGCAGAAGGAGATTTCGTCAACAGAAAGGGGTATCATAGCCTCAACGTTGGGATGGTGGTTGACTACGATTTGAGGATCAGATGGGTCAGCTCCAAATTTCCGGGATCTGCCCACGATTCGCGTGTCTTCAAAACGTCGGAGCTTTACGAACAGCTGAAAAATCAGGAGCTCAGTGGTGTTCTCATAGGCGACTCAGCCTATGGAGCTTGAGGTATTCTTGCTGAAGCCCCTGAACACCACAAAAAACGTGAAAGGTACCCATTATCGGATATTGTAAACATTTTTCATCACAAGTAACTCTCTGCAGAAGAGCGTTACAATAGAGCTGTCTGCTCTGCTCGCGCGCGTGTCGAGCGGGCCTTCGCAGTTCTGAAGCGGCAATTTCACATCTTACATGGAGAGTGCAGGTGAAATCTGCCTAACATTGCTTGCCTTAATTGTCATCATTCTAATCAATCCCATTGAAGGTACTCTCCAGATAGAGCCGCTCAAATAGTAGTAGCATGCTGCGTGTTACGAAATATAGCGATAGGACAGAACGAATCCAGCGATTACGATGAGTATGCTGGGGCGGATCGTGAGGACGACGAGGTTCCGTCAGATCCTCTAGTCGAAACTCCTAGTCCGAGTGCAGTTGCCTTTAGACAAAGTATCATAGACCGTTACTTTTGAGGTAATATCCAGGCAAAGTCTGCTAATTATGTAGTATTAAAATTCAAAGAAGCACTATTAATGAACGATTTTTAAGCATTCATTCCGTTCAACGACAACTTCACGACCCGTTGCGACGCGACTACAGCTTTGAGCGGGTGATTCGTCTTTTAAAAAAATTATATTACGCTACTTCATGAAAAACCTCTATTGCAGAGCCTCTATCATCCGGGCAGTTGCATCGCTGCGTCCCACCATTTCATAAAACGTTCATAGAGTTGTACATAGTTCTATTATTCTATTTTGTACTGCTTATGCTGTTTTTTTCCTACCGATGTCTCATATCAAGTTGTGCTTTCTCACATGATCTCCTTATCATTTACTGACTGGTCGAGTTTCGAGAAACAAATTGCTTTTTCTCATAAATAAATCGAATTGCTTCAGAGATCTTCACTGAGACTATCATTGCAGAAGAAACATGAAAAGCAATGTCCATTGTAGCACCGAATTGACCGTAATTGCTTTACCAGTAACAGTGACCGTATTCGCAAACCTAAACCTGTGATCATATAACAGTTGTATCAACTTCACTATTTATTTACTTTGAAGGAAAGCGCATATTTACCTGATTTGTCGTATTTTTTTACATTCCTGGCCCAAAGGGTCTGCTCCAGCTCCAATTGGACCACTGCTGGAGCTTCAAGTCGACCAATTGGGTTTTTTTGAGAATCAGTTCCTTCTTAAGGAGCTGGTTTTCCAGTTCCTGTTTTAAAATTTCCTCTCTAGTAGGCACTTTTTCTTGCGCGCTGGGTAGCCTCTTCCTCAAAGAAAACCGGCTCTGAGGATCTGTGGGCGAATCGGGGGAGTCTGACCTTCTTCGCTGCAAATAATGAGGCATACATTGAATTCATTCAGATGTCAAGAAGTATGAAAAGCATTACCTTCTGACGCTGCCCCACTTCTATCCCTCCCTCCACACCTGTCAGCCTTGGTTTTTCTCGAAGTGCCTCGAATGCGCGGCGCTGTGCTGCAGTTAGTCTAGGAAACACGGCCGCCCTCCCACCCCCTGTTTTTGATCTTTCCTTCATCTGAAATTAAACAACACTGTAAATATGAAGCGCGGTTTCCCTACGTTTTGCAACTTACCACTGCGTTGCCGTATCTCTTTAATATTTTTATTTCATCCCGTATTTTCTGCTCCACTTGCTTTTCAGTCCGCGGCACCACGCTCAAGGTGTTCACCTCAGCAGTTAACTCACTTATGAATTTTTTTTGTTCTGCAACTAAGCTTATTTCAAATGCAAACTTTCTTTTGATAGTGAAAGCTTCGCCCACCATTGCTCCTTCCTTTGACGGTCCAGTCATGGCATGATGAAATACGTCGTAATGATCAACATATTTTTCCAATATAAGGTCGCACTCCTCTTCAGCAAAGGGCATGACTGCGCTCTAATAAAACAAGTCTGACAGTAGCAAGAATACAGAATGAACAGCCTCTAGCAGCTTCTAACACCCACTGTTGATGATAACTCCGACGATCCAGTGAATAGCGCAGAGGATCCTTCTTGTACTCCTGATTCATCTTCTTGACCAACGCTTCCCGGGGGGGCATAGGGCGAATCAAGGTTTTGAATGGTCCAATCTTCTTCAACTGGATTCGACTCCATCCCTGCAGTGTTTTCCTTCATTTCGAACTCATTTCCAACTTGTTATATAGGAAACGTGGCGCTGTGCTGCAAGACACAGGGGCACAGTCCGTGATTAAGCCTAGGAAGGGAGGGAGTTAGAGAAAATGACAGCTGCCCACGCACTCAAGACTCGCCAAAGGCCCCTTTCGGTTTGAACGAAAAAGATGATTTACGCAGCTTTGAATGCCCTGTCACCACAGAGTCGGGAACCTTTCTTCCTCCGCATAAGAAATTGGTGACTAATCTTGTATCTCTTACGAGGAAGGTCACCAGGCCGGTCCGGCCATTTGCAATGAGGTGTATACCTATGCATTCGTCTTGAGACGATAAGCTAGAAACCGCTTTTCCTTATCTGCTAAACGATGCTCTGAACGGAGTTACGGAAAGTTTTCCCCTCAACACTGGGTTTAAATGCTATATTTGAGTGCTATGCATGGAGCCGCCTTTGTGAACAAGGCGAAGAGATGAAGGAACCAGGAGCAATGGTGTAGTGACAGCGATCTACGCTCGTGGGCTAGAGGTACTGGGATTGGTCCCTCAAAGTTGGCCTTGTTTTGCTTTTTTGCCAACATGAGTAAAAAAGCCTCTAGCGACATTATTTCGTCGATACCTGTTTTCATATGCGTGTTTCAAGAGTTTACGAGCACCTGGTTGCAGATAAGCCACGATTTGCCCATGACTGAACACGACCCTTATAGCTCCCTAGTCAGGCGTTTTTGCGCAAAACGAGTATGATATCCGTATTCAGGAGATCAAAATACCCCTGGAGACAAGATTCCAGCCAAATCTGATATTTTGACTAACCTTCGAGAGAGGGCGTCCACCAAAGTCTACCAAGGGCACGAGGGGATGAATCGAGAACAAAATGGCGAAGACACTACCCCTGAACTTGGATACAGAGCCATGTAAGTCATTCCCATATGCGGAAATGTAAACCAGGTCAACGTTTTTCTTTTCGGGATCCTGGTTAAAGAGCGATTTCCATCCCAAGGGTTCAACGTAAATCGATGATAAGATGGTTGACGATGGTTGGCTCACCTACCCAATTTTAGAAGTTGGGTCAAAATCTCAGATTTGGTAGGAAACTTGTCTCCTAGGGTAGTTTGATCTCCTGAACACGAATATCATGCCTGTTTGCCGCGAAAAAGCCTGACACGTGCATTACGGGCACCATGTTCATACATGGACGACTACTGCCCAAACCTGCAAGGAACTGCTCTCAAACTCATCATGGAAGCAATTAAGCGCAAGCGTTGATAAACTGAGAATTAGAAGCTTTCTGGCTACATCTTCAACAAAAAAAAAAACAGACTCTCCGAGGAACCGTTCCCACGACCTCTTGCTCGCGAGTTCGGGGCACTGCCACTGCGCTTCCTTGCTTTATAACTACGTTCAAAGAATCGTTTAGCAGATAAGGAAGGCAGTTTTGAGCTCAGCGCCTCGAGGCGACTTCAACGGTATACGACTCATTGCAAATGGCCGGACCGGACCTGATGACCTTCCCTCGTTAGGCTGATGTCAGAGGTTACGATCCGTCGCAGAAATCGCTGATTTTAGCGATTTGCGCGATTTCCTGCGATTTGCGCGATTTCGCGATTTGCGCGATTTTGCGCGAAACCTGCGATGGATCACAGGAGTTGGAAGTGCCCGATGAATACTGCGAGGTGTTGTTTAATCCTGCTGCGAATTCTGCTTGGACAGTAAAGAATTGGAAACGAATGTTTCGTGGTTCTACTTGTTTCATGTTCAATGTCTATTAGTTCACTGAAATGCTGATGAATTGCTCCTACTTTCGCCTTTTTTTTCAAGGAAAAACTACATCGGTTCTGAACTGTTAATGAGTGCAAGTGTTCCATTCGACATTCGAAACACTGCTATTGAAACAAGTGGAATCATGAGCAGTCGTCATTCAGCCATCACTATCAAGCAGAAGTGGCGGCAGGATTGGAGAACACCTTGCAGTATTGATCGGGCACTTGTGATTTCCGTGACCCGTCGCGTGAATCGCGCAAATCGCGAAAATCAGCGAAACCTGCGACGGATCGCGGACTCTGACATCAGCCTTACAATCCCTCACTCGGGCGAAAGACGACTCCTTGATCACAATTGAAAGAAAAAGGAGAGGCGAAGCTCACCTTCAATACGCGCAACAAATCCAAGGCGGTGCCACGACGAAGCAGTGCCTCTATCCTAAATCCATGGCATGCATGATAGTAAGCCAAAAAACAAGGAACGAAAAGAGCGATGACGCGATCCACCTCATTTTTCAACAGTTCCAGAAAATCAAAGTACATTGAACCTTTGAAATCAACCACAAACAAATGACTCTCCCTTTTTATTAGGTTAGATTCACGCAACGAATGCAGTACACCATCACGACATTAGAACTTAGAGAATGCTGCTAACAGACATTCACATCAATGGCTATATAGAGTACTTTACCTTATGATAAGTAGTTTATTGCCTCGACAGGGTGTAGGACGAATAATCGGTGGAGTTGATTCTGAATGTCCCCTATCCTATTAGCCTCCACTCAATTATCGCCTTCCAACGAGCAATGTCCAAGGCGCCGGCGCTGAAGATGCAACCCACTGAAAAAACAGTAGAACCTAAGCGATAATTGTGGTGACAATTCGATAAACAGTAGCGGTCAAAAGTGTTTGCCGAAACGGTTTTTCGTGCTTTGCTTTTTTTGCCAGAAAAAATCAATGGTGACCTCGAATTTTGATTCTTCAAGACTTGAGGATATAAAAACACTAGAAAACATAGTATATCAATCTTTGGAGGACGTTGCTCAAGCGAGAAAAAATAATGCACCAAAAAATGTTTCGGCGAACAGTTTTGACCGCTACTGTATATTGAAGACATTAAGAACTTGTCACTGGGAAGAAATGTTCACGTAATTTTGTACGTTCGCTATATCGTTGTTGGAACTTTTCAGTCAAAACGAATGACATGAAAGTAAATGAAACCACGAAGCATGAAACTTATAGAACTAACTGTTGATTGCTCAAGATTACTAGACCCGTCGGTATGCCATCGGCCAATTTTCCAACTGCAGCCACCTGCAAGAAAGATAATAAGTTTCATCAACGTGAAATACTCTGCCCCAATCCCTTTCATTCGCACAGCAAAATTAATCACATGAAATCACGCTGGGTTAGAAAAGAAACATGTTATACCAATTTTTCAACCAGGTACCTTTCCTGAAGAAACTGTTTTCTCATCGACATTGAACTATACCTTCAACCGACAAAGGAATTTGAATTCCACGAGAACGGTCCTCAAAAAACTCGAGGAAACTTATCCTTCCTATGGAACATCGAATTCTCTAAAAAATGCGTTTGGTATACCATGCAAGTTGAATCGCATGAAGTCAAGGACGAATTCTGTAAAAAATGCGTTTGGTATACCATGCAAGTTGAATCGCATGAAGTCAAGGATCAATCCCTTCATAGTGAACTGAGATGGTTACCACTAAGTCGTACACAGTTGAGCACAAACTAGGGAGCTCAGAACCAGCAGGCCTAGTCATCGTGTAAGCAACATTCTCATTTCAGTGCAATGTACGTTTACACCCACACTTCAGGGCAATAGCGTTGGCGAAACTATGGCCGAATGCCAGGATTCCTTATGCTATCTCTCCGCGTTAATCATCCCATGAACGCGCTCTTCTTAGCTCGAGCTGTCAAGCAGGTTCGTTTGCAAGCACTTCACCATTATTATGCACAACTGCTATAGGGTGTCTCAACTACATATATGCCATATTGTTAGAAACAGGGAGTCAAGTAGAAACGTTTAGAAGCGCATTCCGCGATAAGTTGGAAGAACAGTTTTACCCGCTCGTGAGGAGACTGACCCAAAAACACGTTGTGCCATTTTTGCAAGTTTACGGTGCATGGCAGGGATCTATGTCGCGCGCAAGCCCAGTCTTATCCACAATCTTGTAGTCGATGTCAAGCTAGTGTCTGCGCCTCTTTGATCTCTCTCCTTTGTCAGGGCATCGTACTCGCTGCAGGGTCAGTCATTGCGCTCGGGGCGATTTTGATTTAACGACCACCTCCTTCAAAGGACTTCTCCATCAATGACCCTAAACCACCATAACTATTTCTATATGTCCTGCCACGGCATGAAATACTGAAGACCTCGCCCAAACCCAAAAACAGCGTTAAGCGGCGTTAACGTGTAGGAGAGTGGGGTACGGGAGATGATATTTGAACTTTCCAAAACTTCCTTCTTTTCATGTTCCTCAAAAAATTGGCCTACTTCCCTGAACCACAAAAAGTGATTCTCTAGCGATTTTCAGACAGTAGTGTCCGCGTCTGTCGCCCAAATGCACACCTCCTCCATGCCGTTGATATGCTGATGATCAACTATGAACAGAAGCCTTTCCAACCTTCTTCGAGAATTTCATCTTTCTATTTCTATGCTGTCCGTTAACGTAGCGTCCACAATCTCAAACATGAACCAAAACAGCCACGTCTTTTATCGTGAGATGTACCTTTAAGCAAGCATACCTTTGCAAGACCACCAGAGTTCTAAAACCCGTTTCTACACGCTCTAAGGTTGATAGAATGCAACTACAGGTTATCACAGTTTATTAAGATCTGGAACTATTGAAAATTGCTAGGTTTGCCAAACCTGGTTAAAAGATTGGTAGGTCAACCTTGATTATGCAAACTACGGTTGTCATTCATTTCGGAGCGTTGTTTTCAGTAGCACATTAAGTCGTATATTCGGTTTGTGCCTCGGTCTGGCGGTGAACCTGACTATTTATTCACCGGGAAAGTGGATGGCTGAGTTGGATAAAAGAATAGCAGCAGAAGTGAGCAGTCTTTTAGTCAATTTCAGCCAAGAGTAGCAGGCCACGAACATGTATCAAAAGTTCCCGTTACAATGCTCACAAACTCGCGGTTGAAATTTTCTCCCGACATTTACAAGTTTAACTTCTTCAATAACTCAGTAAATGCTAGAACTTTGAACGTACCAAAGTATCCGTTTTGGTTGCTTTTCCGAAGTCGGTCGAACATCCGGTGTGCAGGTGCTGTCGTTGGACAACGGCTGTATGGAATACGCCACGATCATCCACGAGATGATGCATGTCGTCGGATTTTATCACGAGCATGGTATGAAGGGATGAGAAGAGACAATCATCTGGAAATATCAAAACATCAGATAGGGTTGTCACTAATGGTACTTCACCGGGCACCCAATTGTAGACTCAGTCTCGTGCTTCAGACATCAATAATCCAATAAAAGAGAGGGCGTTCATGTTATTGGAGAGGAAGCAGTACATTCAGAATAGGGCGATGGTAGGTGCTACAAAGACTGAGCCTAGGAGAGGGAAAAACGCCAAGGAGAACACAATGGCTCACTTCCTTTATCAGAATCCCTTTCCTTCCTGAGCCTCAATTCCAAGCGCTGCGAATGGCTCACTCACTTGAATATCCCCTCCCCGTCAATGAAATGGGCGCCGAATGTGTACTTCAACATTCGCAAAAACGGGCTGCTCGATTATAATCAGTGGAGAGAAGGAAAGAGAATACAGCCCAATTGTACCGAAAATCAAGCATCTGGTGGTGACTAAAGAAAGCCAACTCTAAAGAATGTAAATCAACGGGTTAGAGCAACAACACTTTCGGTTAGACAGTTGCCAGTGATCCATCAAAAGCATCCAAATACATCTTCACACAGTGAAGTTATTGTTCGATTGGCTAGGCCGTCAAATGACACCACTTCTAGAGCGATGGGATCACGATAAATTTGTCGAAATCATCTGGCAGAATATCGACAGAGATAAGTTTGTCTTACAATTTCATCTCAAGCAAAGGTATAAAGCTAAGAAAATGTCTCACAATTCATCGCTTCCCTATTTCACAAACTTTCCTCCAATAGATCGAAGTGTCGTCAAACTGTTGTAGGTGCATTAGACCAGTTCGGAAAGGTAGATTTGAGTAAAACATCTTACTATGGACAACCGTACGACTACAAATCTATACTACACTACGACAGTCTGGCATTCAGTCAGAGAGATGTACAGTTGGCGGCGGGATCGGGGAATACCTTACAGTATTGATCGGGAACTTGTGATTTCCGTGACCCGTCCCGCGAAAATCGCATAAAATCAGCGATTTCTGCGTCGGATCGGCAAATTCTGACATCAGCCTTACA